GGGAAATTTTAAGGGCACTAAACCTAGAAATTCCCCACTATAAATAGCACATTATACCCTCAATAAAGAGGAGAGGCATATACCCTAAAAGAAAAGGCTTAGAGAAAGGAGAATGCAACATCTCTTTTCCACCATTCTACTATCGGTCGTCCTTAGTTCCCTCCATAGCCAAGCTTCACTAGTTTAGTGGCTAGGCTCTTGAGAGAGGCTAGAACGCTAGAGCAGTCTTGGTGGTAGTCTGACGTCACAGTAGAGCTCTGTTATGGGAGTTTTTCTTTCTCTTGTTCATCATTTCTTATTTTTAAGGGCTTGTACTTAACGAATATTTTTGGGATAATGTTAGCCACACCATAAACTATTTTATTTGGTTTTGGAAATGCTTGGATGATATTTTATTTTATGGTTAATGGATGATTAAGTAAGTTTTTTCTAAATGTTATTTTTTCGCTATTTTAATCTTTCTCCTTAGCACTATAAGAGGTTTTGAAAGATTGTCGGGTGTCTTGGCAAAATATTCCTAGTCTTTGTAAAAGATATTGAAAGATAGCCTCTTTTTCTAGGAGTCGATACCTAATATCGATAGAGTTAAGTTAGATCTATATGAACAAGGGAACTAATCCGGGATTGTGAGGTTATAATCTGCCTTAGAGATAAGGAGAGGATTTCATGCAACTAAGAAGAATAAATGCTTGAGTAGATAGGCCAGCGCTATAGTTTACGTTGAGGGGCATTTCCATAGCAACAGTTTGACAAACCAATGGCTGCAATTTACGCTAAGTAGTATTGTCGATTAATACTTTGTCAGGTTCCATGCTAGAGATACTATTGGAACACTTTAGTAAATCCTCTCAGGTAACATAGCATACTAGATCATCCTAGACATAGAATAATTTCTCGTCATAGGAAATCCAACCCAAGTGCTCTGTTAGAAGTATGATTGTGTGAGGTTTTCAGTCTATGTTCAGAACTCAAACATTTTTAGCCTTAACAACTTTTTTCTGTTTACTATTGCATATTTTTCTTGCCACGACAAGACTTTACTGCTCATTTCACTTCACACTTTTCTTGCATCGACATATTATTTTTTATCTATTCATACCATTTGCCACTGCTTATTTTTCCTTTATGAATACCGTTAGACAAGAAACATATAACTAGTTAATGACACCTAGTTCTAGTTGTAGCAAACTTTAAAGGATTTCCCCCAATTCCTGTGGAGACGATAACTCACTTACTACTATATTAATTGAATCGATTGTGTATACTTGTACAAATTTACGTGCCACAACACCCATATATGCACATGATCAAATTTCATCTCCTAGATCACAATCTCCTGCTGTTTTGACTCCTTGAAGTCCTGTGGTGAACACAATTTCTAATCTACAGAACTTAGAGTCTTTTTCTTTAGCATTGTATAACATTGATGGCTTGGTTGAAAATTATGTTGATCATGAGCCATTTGATGGTCATGAGGTTGTTCATGATGTTTCGTATAACCAGCAATAAGCATATGTTATACATGCATACTCACCTTCTACTCGTGTTAGTGATGGAGTTAACACGCATCCCATCCTGACGATGAGCAAAATGGGAATCTTCAAGCCTAAAATGTTTCTTGCACAAACAAAAGCTAATATGGTTTATATGCCTCCTCAAACAATTCAACAAGTTTTTGTTGTACCTCAGTGAAAGTTGTTGCTATAGCTAAATACAATGCTTTGATTAACAATAACACATGGAGTCTAGTCCCTTTACCAGAAGGATGAATACTTATTAGTTGCAAGTGGATTTTTTGGGTTAAGAATAACGTTAATGCATGGTTCCATAGCCAGGCACAAAGCTCACCTAGTACCCAAGGGATTCTCCCAAGTTCCAGTTGCAAAGCACTCCATTGTTAATGTAGTTTTATCTTTAGCGGTAACTAATGTGTGGCAAATGCATCAACTGGATGTCAACAACGCTTTCTTAAATGGGGAGTTGTATAAAGATGTGTATATGGTGAAACCCCTTGGCTTTGAACAATAATCAGCAGACGATAGAAGCTTGTATGCAAGCTATAAAGGGTGTTATATGAACTCAAACAAGCTTTAAGGAATTGGTACTTCAAACTTCGACAGTATTTGCTTGAGATAGAATTCGATGTTCCCTTGTTTGTGAAAAGTTTGGATGGTCATTATGTCTATGTCCTTGTCTATGAGGACGATATTATTATCACTGGGGATTTACCGGCAATAATTGACGATGCTGTTCATTTGTTGAGTATAAAGCTTTCTTTGAAGGATTTAAGCGAGCTAAGCTATTTCTTAGTTCTTGAAATTCAGAGGTCAGATGTTTATCTGGTGCTAAGGCAGAAAAAGTTTGTTCTTGAGCTTGGAAAAGACTAACATGTTAAATGCTCGACCAGTTGCTATATCAATGGTTGTGACTCCAAAACTAAGTCAAGCTACTGGCAGTCCGCTTGAAGATGCTCAGACGTATCGGAGTATAGTTGGCTCTTTGCTGTACCTTAACCATATAAGACCCGATGTTTCTTACAGTGTCAACCTTGTCGCTTAATACATGCATAACTCGTGTGCGTTACATTGAGCTACTGTAAAACGTATATTAAGATATATCAAAGGCACTCTTGACCATTGTTTGTTGTTTCGACACTCCTCCTAATATGATGTAGTGGCATTTGATGGATGTTGACTGGGCCAGCAACATTGATGATCGTCTCTTCGTCTTAGGTTATTGTGTTTATTTTGGAGCAAATTTGATCTCCTGAAGCTTTAAGCGCCAACGCTCAGTTTCTCGATCCACCACCGAGGTTGAATATAGAGGTATAGTTGATGTTGTCTTTGAAGTAACATGGATGAAAGCTTTACTGACCGATTTGGGAGTCTTTGTTGTTAATAAACCGATTGTTTGGAGCAACAACACTAATGTTGTTGCATTAAGCGCGAATCTTATTCTTTATGCCAGGTCCAAACATTTCGAACTTGATCTTCATTTCATTCGTGAGAAAGTTACTAATGGCAGTTTATGCGTCAACTATGTGCCAACACAATAACAGATTGCTGATGGGTTTACTAAACCATTGTCCAAATCGAATTTTTCTTTGTTTCGTTCTAAAGTAAACGTTGTTGATAGTGAAGAAATGGGAAAGGGTAGAGAGAGAATGTTGCAGTATGAAGGTAGTTAGTTGAGTTGGTTCATACCAACTATGATACGAAGGAGGTTAGCTAAGCTGGCTTATACCAGTTGTAGGCTTGTTATGCAATCTGTTGTGTAACCGTATGCAATCATGAGGTGTTTGAGTTATACATATATGAGTAATCATTCAGCTTAATAAAATAGAATTCGCGTTTTCTTCAACACCACTTGCTCTATGAAAGTAGAAGAATACATAATCAACAAATAGTTCAACATCTCAAATGATTAGTTTAAATAAAATCTTTCATTTTTTCTATAAATTTTATCCTGAATCCCAATTAGGGTTTTTGATTAAACTTATTGTATTCTTGAAATTGGCAATATCAATAGAAAACTTATAAAATAAAGATTCCAAAAATCTATTTATCTTTTAAATTGGGTTAGAGAAAAACCTTTAATTTTTAGATAGAATTCGAGGTTTAAAGCTCTCAAATTTCAACAATGGTGTTTCTAAGGTTGAAGACTTGTTTTGCTTAGCTTCTACAATAAACTTTAATAACCAGTCAGCAAACCCTCTAGGAAAGGTAAGCTAAAATGCCCAATTTAGAAAGTAAAGATGTTAGGACTAAAATATAAACCTTGTCTTCTAAGTAGCTTATTCACCAATTTTGGAATTAGCAAAATTCTATTCAAAGTCCTCAACCTTTTCATCCCTAAGCAATAATTGGTCAAGTCATCACTTTAGCCATTAAAATTTTCCCTTATTTTCACTTTAGCACTTAATTTTCACATTTTTACTAAAGTCTCCAAAATCTTCTTTTCTTTTGTTCCATTTTAGTCACGAAACCATTATTATAGATCAATTATCCTTTAACCTATAATATAAAATAAAATCAATAAAAAATTTTAAGAACTTTAATTATCGAAATAACATGTCATAAAAGAGTTTCCTTATCATCGGACATAAAAAAATTCTAAACGAATTTTCGAAAGGTTACGTGAATACAATTTTATCATTGTCTATCTAATTCAACACTAAATTTTAAATAAACTAGAATCAAAATTTTGTCAATGAAAATGTCCTGTCAGCCCCTAGCTCCGTCTCTTAAAGACAGAGTCTCGAGATTTACACATTAAGAGAGTGACTTTGTGTTTACTTTCATGTGAAATCACAACATCACTCTAGAGTCATAGAGTCATAAGTTGAAGGCTTTGATCCATTCCTTTAACGATCGTTTCAAGTTTAAAATTATTATATATATTTTTTATTTTATATTAATAATTTTTTTATTCCCTAAAATTTCATAAATTAATTGTCTTAATATATAAAATTTTACGTTTATTTTTGTGTATATAAATAATATGAGCATTAGATATAACTATTCCTTTAATTATTTGTATATATATATATATATATGTATATTATCCACGTTGTCTTTAATTAGTTTCTTGTGATAATGACTTCCCATGCTCTACTTCTACCGACATTAAGAACTTCTGCTTCTTTTTTTAAAAACTTTTTGATGATTCATCTCAATTATAAAAAGGAAATGATTGTACTTGTGGAAAACAGAATGGACTGATGGACATGCAAAACTCCCAAATTATCACATCATAATGTGATAAAATGGATGAATTCATACAAACGGAATACAGTACAGAACTACAGATCTCGGTCTCATAAGACAGAGTGACGAAATGATAAATTAATTAAAATTAGCAAAGGGATAAGAGAGCTCAAACTAATAGCAGATGATTAGCAAAGACTCGAATGAGATTAAAGAGTAAGGTTTTCCAAGATCAAGACCACAGGATGTTATAAGCTAAAATTACATGCATGCTTGAATATTACTAAACCCTACCAACTAGTCATAAGCTGCACTGAGAGGCCTAATAGCAGCAGCCTCCATAGCTAAGCACGGTGCTTTAGCTGAAGCAGAAAAACCCATCTTTCAAATGAACTCCCTCGCCCTCCTACACGAAAAATAAATCCGATCAGATAAGTAATAATGCAGAAGTACATTAGGTCGTTTTATATATTATTTTGGTGGTGAGAAGAAGGGGTGAAAAAGTAACCTGCTGGCTCACGTTAGCCTTCTTGGCAGGCAGATCAGGCATGAGGCCAAAGTGAATATGTGGGAAGTGAGCCCACTGACAAAAAGAAAACAAAATAGGATCAACCAAAGGATCTTATCAAAACACTGTATGCGGTAATAGAGATGAAAAAATTAAAGGGAACCCTAACTTTGTTTTTTTTCCTGTTACATAAGAAACCCTATCTTAATTTGGTAAAGAAAGCAAGAAAATCTTACGTTCTTTGCAGCTGCACTGAAGGCTTCTCTGTGAGTTATATCGGGGTTTCCTGCCTTGATGCGTTGGATCTCCTCCCTGCACCAGAGATTCATTTCCATTTACAAAATCAAATTCACATTTCAAGAGAATGGATTTGACAATGAATGAATGATATTGACTGCTTACTTGATGAATCGGTTGTACGCAGAGGGGACTCTCTGTCGTTTCTCCGGAGCTAAAGATGGACATACAAATACATTAGAAATTCAGTATACTAACTTGTACTGGAATTCTGCTTCTTTTTTAAATCTTTTTTTCGACTGTCATTTCACCTTCATTGTGTAAATTTCACTGTTCAAAATTTTCCTCATGTTTATGCCTATTTAAGTTTCCGGGGTGGAAGGAAATTCTTTACATTTACTGATTCCCTTAAAGGAAGGGCGCCCAAACTGTCAAGGTGACATTTTCTTAACTTGAAAACTTGAGCAAGCGTTTGATCAACTATTACCAATTATAACAAGGGAACAATGTTTTAAAGCTGAAAACTTATTAGTGCCAGGCTATATGATGTCATGATCTTGGTTTTCTGGGTCCTGGTGATGATATAGGGTATTGTGGGCAAGTTTTGCAACTATGAAAGAAACATTATTTTTTGGACTATCAAGTTATAGTGAAAAGACAAGAACAGTTCTCTTTTCTTGTCTAAATCAGGGTGTCTGATTTTAAAACAGAAGGCTGAAATAGCAGGTAATGAAAGGGTTCTTTACATATTGTTGATGAAATGACACGAGCTTCAGGGTTGCAAGAAAGAAAGGAAATAATGGACATGACCTGACTTCATTTCCTTATTTTGCAAGTGTTAGGAGAGAATTTAGGGTCTTTGAGGGGGGGGGGGGAAATGAAAGGGCACAGTGGGTTTTACTAAGAACAGCAATGAAAGTCTTCAAAGAACTCACGTCTGTTTGTAAATGGAGGCCTTGGAAGGTCAGCAGCAGCAACTCCACGAGTGGGTAAGGTGATGTCACTCGTATTAGCTTGATTGAGCATCAAATTTGGACATGTATTTGAGATCTCTTCCTGGAAAAACAATGAAAGGCATCAAATCAACTATGAAAGAACCAGTAAAAAATAAGGCTTGTAGCTATAAGAACCCAATAATGTTTTCTGCTTAATCAACAATAAGGCGTAGTCTTCTAATTGCTTAAATCGCCATACCAAAAGATTTTGTGAAGGAGTGTAGAAACTGTGAGCCAAATGAAATTGATTAGTGGATGGAAAAAGTAGCCCACGCATGTTCACTGGCAAAAGATTGGTGCAGTGACCACATCGAACCGTTACAGTCTTGAACAAACTTGTGCAAGGGACACTAACCTATATTTATAGCACAAAAACAAAGAATCCACATCATTATAAAGGATACATATATAGAAAAGACCTAATTAGAAAGAGAGAAAAAAGGAAAGAAAGAAAAGGAAACCCTAAGTGAGAGTGTGAGACCTAATTGGTAAAACAAAAGGTTAAACCATGGAGAGTGAAAGTGAAGGAAAGTGGTGGGGAGAAGCAAGGAAGGGAAACAAAGTGTAAGAATACCGCAAGGACAGTGTCGCAGATGTTGCAATGGACATAACAGAGCTGCTCGGAGGGAGGAAGGTGGTCCAAAGACAAGGTGGAAGACGATGACATCTTCTTTGATTCCCCTTTGTTTTCTCTTTTAAAATTGATTGATCAATGTTATCTCTCTTCGGTGGGATTGATTGATTGATTGATAGAATGACAGCTTAACAACCACCTTGGATCTGCTTTTCTTTGATTATGAGTTGTGAGAGAAAGAGAGAGAAGATGGATGGATGGACCTTCTTGGCATGCTAGATATAAAGACGGCAAAAAGAGTAGATGGCAGGAGAAAAAAAGAACAAAGATATATAGAAATCCCGTCTTTGTAGCAAACATGCATGCATGTACCCATGAACTGATATGTCGATATATACATGCATATATACTATATACACATATCTTGAGTCTATGATATGTGTGGTTGACATTCGAAGATAAAGCTTGTGTTTAAGCAAGTGTGAGAAAGGGGTAAGGCGGTATATGTGGGGGAGAGGAGAAAGAAAGGGACGTGTGCGTGGGGAGACAGGGTAGTTCTGCGGTGCGGCGCCTAAAAAACGGCTAATATACGGCGTGACCGGTTAAACAATTGACCGGTCCGGTTAAAATTTATACCGGTTATGTTATATTATTTAACCGGAAATATTATAAAGTACAATAACATCCTAGGTAGCCCTTATATAATGTAATAGGTAGCGCTTATATTTACCTATTTTATAAGTAATCCGGTATATTTATACCGATAGTATTGCAAATTTACCTATTACATTATATTATATTGAAAGTGTCCATACTTTTTATAAAAATGATCGATACTTCTTTTAAAGTTATGTAATTTATGTTTCAATTTTTTTTAATAGTGTTTCATGTTTTCCACCTACAATATTAATTTAATAATTTCATTTGCACAAAAAATTATTTGATTATTTGATATTTTATAAAATATTATTTAGAATTTTTAATTTAATAATATATATCGTAACGTAAAAAAAATCATTAGACGCCTATAATTACTAAATTAATATCTTAAAACTCACTCAAAAGATAACCTTAAATTAATGTTTTCCACAGTGAAAAAAGTATGGACACTTTTATAAAAAGGATAGACACTTTACAATATAACCACTACCTATTACATTATATAAACGATACCTATTACATTATATAAGCGCTACCTATTACATCATATGTTTACCTATTATATTGAAAGTGTCCATACTTTTTATAAAAAGGATCGATACTTTTTTTAAAAGTTATGTAATTTATGTTTCAATTTTTTTAACAGTGTTTCATATTTTCCACCTACAATATTAATTTAATAATTTCATTTACACAAAAAATTATTTGATTGTTTTGATATTTTATAAAATAATATTTATAATTTAAATTTAACAACATTAACCAAAGATAATAATAAATATGTAATATATATGTTTATTGTTTTTAATTTAATAATAATATATACACATCAAACACATTCCAAGCTATAAATTACAAGCTAAGGACACTTGAAGAAGCAAGAGAACAACTATCCAAGCAATCAAAAACGAGAAAATCCCAACATGATAACAACTGAACATATCATATCAATGTTCAAACTCAAGTTGTAGATTTTGATTTCCTTTTGCTTGGCATCATATGAGATTTTTGATTTCCTTTTGCTTGGCACCATATGAGCTTTGGATTTTGATGAGCATCGGAAGTATTTCAGACTTATGATTTGGGTGGTACTCAGAAGCATTTCGGACTTATGATTTTAGTTGCTATTTGTTTACCACCCAGATCATACGCCCGAAACGTTTCTGACGCTTTAAAGTTGACCAAAAAATACAATGGTCGGGATTTCCCTCGCGTTTAACGTTGGAAAAAAAACAATGGAAATTAGGAATAATCAATGATAACATGCATATTGGCTTGGGCTAATATTTATAGTGGAGCCGAAATATATATTGAAATTCAAACTCAAATTGAAATTTAAATTCAAACTCCAATTACATATGAAATGAATTTGAAATGCAGTGTTAAATTGAACATGAAAATTGCATAATTGATTCATACTGTTCAAGTAACATGCTTTATGAACCATCAAGCTAAAAGACAATATTGATTGAGTTCAAAGCTGAGTTGTGAGTTGATGGAGTGTCACACTTGTCACATGGTTGGAATAAAGTAATTTGATTTAATAATTTTATTTGCACAAAAAATTATTGATTGTTTTGATATTTTATAAACAATATTTAGAATTTGTAATTTAATAATAATATATCGTAATGTAAAAAATAAATCATTAGACACCTATAATTACTAAATTAATATCTTAAAACTCACTCAAAAGATAACCTTAATGTTTTCCACAGTGAAAAAAGTATGGACACTTTTATAAAAAGGATAGATACTTTACAATATAACCACTACCTATTACATTATATAAACGATATCTATTACATTATATAAGCTCAACCTATTACATCATATGTTTACCTATTATATTGAAAGTGTCCATACTTTTTATAAAAATGATCGATACTTTTTTTAAAAGTTATGTAATTTATGTTTCAATTTTTTAACAGTGTTTCATGTTTTCCACCTACAATATTAATTTAATAATTTCATTTACACAAAAAATTATTTGATTGTTTTGATATTTTATAAAATAATATTTATAATTTAAATTTAACAACATTAACCAAAGATAATAATAAATATATAATATATATGTTTATTGTTTTTAATTTAATAATAATATATACCGTAACATAAAAAATAAATCATTAGACGCCTATAATTACTAAATTAATATCTTAAAACTCACTCAAAAGATGTATATACCTAAATATGTAGTTAACAAACATACATAAATATGTAGTTATTGTACATACCTAAATTTAATGATAATATATACTTGTAGTTATTGTACATACCTAAATATGTACTGCGAATTTAATGGTGTACCCACCCTTTAACTACCACTACCAATGCCATATCCTATTGAAAGCAGCACGACTGAAACATGTTCAAAATGAACCTTTGCTTACATCTCCATCAACTCCTGGAGCACTGAACTTGCACAACAAAATTTTTGCCATGGATAATACTGATGTAGACAATGTTAAGCCAACCGAGGAATGCCATGAAGTACATAATGTTGATGAATCTGAAAGATTGGTTGGTCAGCTCTTCTGTTCACGTGATCAAGCTTGGCACTTTTACAAGGGATTCGCACGGGAACATGGGTTTAGTGCACGTAAGGGTTTAGTGTCGATATAGGTTGTAGACCTATTCACTCATAAAACCAGTATATTTATACCGGTTATATTACAAAATTATCTATTACATTATAAATCTGGGTTCCGATGTGTAAATGTCGATACTTTTTTAAATCGTATCGACACATTTTTCTTCCAATATGGACATAAAGTACCGACACAATATTAAAAAGTGTCGATATAGGTTGTAGACCTATTCGCGCATAAAACCGGTATATTTATACCGGTTATATTACAAAATTATCTATTACATTATAATTATGGGTTCCGATGTGTAAATATCGACACTTTTTAACAATGTATCGACACATTTTTCTTCCAATCTGGACATAAAGTACCGACACAAGATTAAAAAGTGTCGATATAGGTTGTAGACCTATTCGCGCATAAAACCGGTATATTTATACCGGTTATATTACAAAATTATCTATTACATTATAATTATGGGTTCCGATGTGTAAATGTCGACGCTGTGTATATATATATCCTTCCCTATGACATGTGTATTAATTCCTATTATATTAGTCTTATTAGGCTCGTGCTGTAAGGAAGCATTGTTGTAGAAAACTCTAACTAGGTTGGGATAATATCTTGGTTCTACACCAAGGAATTCAAGCCAACCCCAAGATGTAAATGTGGATTTAAAACTAAATGCATATTTATCATCAAACAAGAAACCCAGGTCAATGACACGTTCGGGACGAATCTTTCTTACTTTAAAACTCGTCTGCCATCTTTGTTTCTCCATGTCGGATCTAAAGTTCAGAGATTCGAAGGACTTGATTTCCTTAAAAGAATCGTTTGTTACAGAAGGAGGTGGTTGAGAAGAACTGGGTTGAGAAGAGCTTTGAGAAAGACCTCGCTTCTGACGCTGACGTTTTGGAGCCATTTTGGTTGGATGCTACCCCTATTACAATGGAACACAAACACATTCAGGATAAAAACTCCAATATAGAAATCAATCAAACCCATAAAATATCGATAAATTTACCTGAATATCTGATCGTCACTTATGATAACGGTAGAAGAAAGAGGAAGATTTGCCTGCTTGCCTTTATGTTTAGGGTTTCTCGATTAAGAGTACTATATATCGTAAACGGTGGAAAAACACTTGATATTTAAATTAGTATCGACACAAACTATATTAGTGTCGATACATTATTTATATATATTATCTCATAAAACCGGTATAATTGTACCGGTTAGATTGAAAAATTACATATTACATTATACTTTTGGGTTCGATGATTTTGGGATCGACACTTTTATATATGGATCGACACTTTATGGGTGCACCCTGTTTTCCATTCATTCTGGAAAAAAATATCGACACAAACTATATTAGTGTCGACACATTATTTATACATATTATCTCATAAAACCGGTACAATTGTACCGGTTAGATTGAAAAATTACATATTACATTATACTTTTGGGTTCGATGATTTTGGGATCGACACTTTTTATATATGGATCGACACTTTATGGGTGCACCCTGTTTTCCATTCATTCTGGAAAAAAATATCGACACAAACTATATTAGTGTCGACACATTATTTAGACATATTATCTCATAAAACCGGTATAATTGTACCAGTTAGATTGAAAAATTACATATTACATTATACTTTTGGGTTCGATGATTTTGGGATCGACACTTTTTATATATGGATCGACACTTTATGGGTGCACCCTGTTTTCCATTCATTCTAGAAAAGAAATATCGACACAAACTATATTAGTGTCGACACATTATTTAGACATATTTTTTCATAAAACCGGTAGACTTGTACCGGTTAGATTGAAAAATTACATATTACATTATACTTTTGGGTTCGATGATTTTGGGATCGACACTTTTATATGGATCGACACTTTATGGGTGCACCCTGTTTTCCATTCATTCTGGAAAAAAATATCGACACAAACTATATTAGTGTTGATACATTATTTATACATATTATCTCATAAAACCGGTATAA